CACCTTCGATGAAGAGTTTCGCATTCTGTACGCTCAGTCAGAGCCTCTGGTTATTGACCCAAACAATACAGCGCTTACTGTCTCTGATCCCAGCAGCACCGGCAACTATTTAGGCAGCCAGTTTGGATTAAAGAGGTCCCAGTCTTTGCGTAACACAGTAGGTTACCGAAGGCAGCCTGAGATTCCCCCTGCCTTCCCCTATGGTGACACTGATCGTAACCCCGTGCTTCCTTTCCGGAGAAATGACGCGTTTCGTCAAACCCTGGAGCCCGGGACAGGAATTACTATTGGAAAGTATTCACAGCAGCAGTTTCGTCTTCAGCAGTCATTCCTGGAACAGGGGCGGTCCATCGTGTCCAGGCAGATGGAGATGAGCGCCAGTGCCTTCAAGAGGCACAGCTATGCAGAAGGAACCCAGGAAACATACGCGTCTTCAAGACAGTTTATGCAGCAAAGAGTCATGAACAATCTGGACGAGACAGACTTCCACAGGTAGGAAAACCTTTAAAACCTCCTGCTGTGATCAGAATAATGCAGAATTATCACATGGACCATAAACATAAAATGTATGGTTTATTATTAAGTTATTAAACAATAAACAATATGTGCTGCACTTTCGTTACAGAGAACAGATTCAAAGCAGCCATTTTTACAGTGAAGGGCCCGGGCCAGGTTCTGGCCACGGACACTTCGACAGACTTCGAGGCCGTCCTCCGCACCTCTCCATTGACCAGTATTCAGACTCAAGTTATCGCTCAGACCAGGAGCCTCCACCTGGGCAGTATGGCAGAGACTACTTTTCATCTGAGGACCTGAGAGGACCCGAGGGCCACAACGCCCCTCCGTTAGCTGGGAGGTATGGGGGAGGATCCTCCCATAAGAGGCCAACCATAGGACAGGCGTATGCTTGTCAGAGCTCACCAACACACCCCCACCCACCTGAGAAGAAAAACTTTAACAAACAATTTGATCAAGAGCATGAGGAGGACTCAAGTGCAAAGCAAGGCCTGAGAAGCTGGAGAATCCACTCCTATCTAAATACTTATGAGGACACTGGAGAAGAAGGCCTGGCTCAGCCTATGGGTCCTGATGCTTTTGATGAACCTTCTCAAGCTGTGCAACCAACTGAAACTGAAAGTTCAGCTCCACGCTATGGAATAAAAGAGCCACCAAATGTTCCTCCCAAGCCCAGACCTGATATCCTGAGGCCACGTTTTGGAAAGCCTAAACTACCTGAGAGCAGCAATAAAGACTCTGGCCTACCAACGTCCAAGGATCTACTTCCTTCCCGCCTTGTACTGGACAGAAAAGAGAGGGAGGAGGAGAAGGAAAGAGAGCCAGAGAGGAGTAAAGCAAGGGAGGGGGGCACAGATGTGGAGGCGAAAGGTGCTCCAGAACTCCTTCTATCCAAACACGAGTCATTCCGGTCGCGTGTTAACCCGCTCCTTCAGCGCAGCTCTCGACTGCGCTCCTCACTTATATTCTCATCTTCTAAAGCAGAGATACACAGTGGTAGCTTAGGTCTAAAACCAGCGACGGAAGAGGATGAGGAGTTGGATTCAGTGCGCACTTCATCCATTGTGGCCCAGATCCTAGAAAAGAGGAGGTCATTAACTCGTGAGCCTTTTGATTGGCGAAGGAAGACCGAGGAGAAGAAGGAGAAAGAAGAAAAACAGGAGAAGCTAGAGGAAAAGGAGATACGGTTAAAAGATGAGATTAAACCTAAAGAGGAACTTAAAGAAACTAATGAAAAAGTAAAGACAACATTTACGCTTGAAAAACCTAAAGTCACAGATTCATCATCTCTGAACATGAATGATCCGGCCAGCCGTTTGCAGTACTTCAAAGACCTAGCTGCCAAGACAAAAGTCTCGAAAACAGAGACAGAGCCATCGCTAAAAGCCTTAGAGCCCGCTGAAAAAAGGCAAGATCTTTCTGATAAACCTCCCAACATTACAACAACTTTGAAGACCCCAGCTGTCACACTCAGTACAGCAGAGCCTGAGCAGACAAAGCCAGACGTCTCAGCAAAACTGGCTGAGATCAATAATCGCAGACCTTCAGTCAGTTCATCAAGGCCACCACTAATCTTTCCCAAGCCTTTTATAAGCTCACAGAAGCCTTCAGAGATAGTGCAGTCTCAGAAAGAGGAGAGTGCATCAGAAGGTCAAAAGAAAGATCTATTCAAGTCTCTAAAGCCTCTGCATTCACCTAAGATCTTCAAGAAGGAGCCGGTGAAACTTAAAGGGATACATCCTCGTCGCATCTCCTGTGGGGAGGAAATTTTGACCACAGATGCTACAGACGCAGAGAAGACTGAAATGAAAAAGAGTCGCTCTCACAGTTCTTCAACTCTGTCACATGAAGACTCTAAGGAAGGGCTGCAAAAGGTTATGGGCTCTACCACGTCCATCAATACCATTGGTGAGGGAAAGGGTGAGGGTAAGACACTCGACTTCCTAAAGAAACAGACTCAGAGGCTAAAGGGATTCCTGGGACCCAAGGACAAAGAAAAGAAAACCTCAGGAGAGGATAGGGGCATGAGCACGGTCATAGAGGTCACTGACAATTCGAGCAAAAAACAGAGCTCATCGTCTAAAGATACAGCGTCTACGACTGCTGATCAATCCACCACCAATCATAAAACATCAACAACCGGAACATCTGTCATGTCCCGATACCAGCCCGCAGGCGGCTCTGTTCTGTACAGCAGCAACTTACGAGACGACACCAAAGTCATTCTGGAGCAAATCTCCGCCAACAGCCAAAAGAACCGCCAGGAGCGGGAGGAGACGGGAGGGAACAAAGATGGAGATGCTGGAGATAAAGGAACGGAGAAACAGAGCTCCTTAAAAAGGAACCGATTTCTGCGACCGCAGGGCAACAACCAGGAGCGGGAGGGACTGCTGAGGAGGATAGAGAGCCTGAGGAAGGAGAAGAAGGTCTACAGCCGTTTTGAGGTAGTCTATCACAGTAAGGGAGATGTTTGCAGCGTAGATGGGAAAGCAATATGAGGAAAAACAACAACACAAAAATATGTTTAGGTGTAAACCACCAAGAGGGGAGGGAAAGGAATCCAAGAGGGAAACCAGGGTTTTAGCTTAAAAATGATATATTTTGAAATGTTTGAAAATAGTGTTTGTTCTCAAAAAGCAGCAGATGAATGTTATAAATTAGCTTCTGAGCAGTGACTGGCTAAATGTGATTGTCTTATATGTACAGTAAGAGACTGGCAAAACCACAGTTCATCACTGTTATGGATTTTTATACTACTTTAAAGAGAATCTGCTTTCAGAAAAAATAATTAACAGATTAAGCTGAACAAATGCAAGCGTGATTATGGCGCAAAGAGCACGGTACGTCCTGCTGAAGGCCAGCGAGGAGGAAAGGCAGGAGGTAAAGAGATTTCACTGTTATCCCTGTTGTTCTGTTAACAGATGGGGAATAACCTGGGATAACGAAAGATGGAGGAGCGACCTTTTACACGGAAACTTATTTAATGCAAGACTATCAAAAAACCTCTACTGTCCACGTTTGTGCCAACGACATTGTGAGAGTTCCTCTGGGCCTTAACACTACAGCGTTTTCTGGATTTTTCCACAAGAAGTAATAAAACTTGAAAGGACGACTTATAAAATGGTGAAAACAAACTCAAGTCATTGAGTCTGGAATGTGCCTTTTTGCCAAGACCTTGTTCTATTTTTTTGCCTTATATGGTGACTGAGAGAAACAAGACTCTACTTGGATACTGGCTTAATGGGCCGGTATGTGTCTCAAAAAAAAAAAAGAAAGGTAGCACAGGTTTACCTGTAAATGAGCTTTTGTGAACAGGACTAAAAGACGAAAAGGGAAGTGTTGCATCTGAGAATCAAAAACATATAATGTGCCAGTCACAAAACACGGCACACGTGTAGTACCAGTGTTGTGTGCAGGCCACTTTGTAGCTGGAGCTTGCTTGAAACTGAATGGGAGAAAGTGTCTTTGTGGATTCACCATGTGCCAGTGGCCCATTGAGGGTTTTGCCAAGGTTCTGGTGGGGGGTCATTATTAGTAGTAGTATTAGTATTAACCTGGACAAATAACCAAAACATAGGAATAAAAAGACAGCTGATGAAGAGTAAAGGGTAGAGAAGAGTGAGATCAGAGGGTAGAGTCAGTGTGAAAAGTGTGGGAGGAAAAAACTGAATCAGAAGGTGAAAATGTTGGGGGACTACAGTTTGGATGGATGGTAGCGGCTGTGGTGAACGTAACACACTCGACTTCTTTCTAATAAGTCATATACCCCCTTCTCAGGGTTGAAAATAAATAAATAACAATTCCTAGGAGACCTAGACGCTTCCATGGAAAGGGGAGTGGTGTTTATGTGTGTTAGTGTTCGCCTCATGTAGTGTAAATAAATATGCAAGATTTCCAGTTGGCCTGAATCAGAGTAAATAATAAAACAAAAAACTGACCTCCGTTTTCCTTCTTGAAAACCAAGAATTACCTCTACAAGGTATACGAGAAAGAACAGGTATATTACACAGTACTGGAGCAGCGCCACGCTTCCTTACATAACTCATTTAACTCCTGAGAGCTACGCCCTGCACAGGATTCCTAACTCCTTTGTTGGTCGGCACAAACTATTAAACCAAAGACTTACTGGCCTCGTGTTGCCTGATATCTCGACAGGGCATCAAACCACTTACGGTTCACTGTGTTTTTGCTGAGTACGTCAAAAAAGATTAAAGTATATGTTGTATGGCTGTAAAGACACTTCTGGGTGAGGGTGGGGTGACACTTGTTTTCTACACAGGATTATGCTGTAAATGTTTATGTTAAAAAAAGGGGGGATTGTTTATATTTTAAGTGATGAACTAGATTGTGATCGCCCTCACTGCGCTCTGAACGTGCCTTGTGTTTATTTTGGATTATTTGAATTGAAATGTGAGAATGTGGTTTGTCTGTAAAATAGAAAAAAGAAGTAAAAAGAAAAAGCAATTGGCATTAATTCGGGGAAGTCATTGTTGCACAGGTTTAATGTGTTCTTTTTTAAACCTCAGATAGTATTACATTTTGTTTGAAATACTGCAACAAACTCTTGCATTAAATCTCTTTTAAAATTGAACGCGACTGTGTCTCTGTGCATATGTATGTATGTATGTATTTGTATGTATGTATGTACACAGCAGGTGTGCATGTAAACTGCAGGGAAGGGTTGTGCTACTTTTAGGATTTCAGAGTGATGAAAACAATGTTACAACAATTCAAACAGGCTTTATAGTTTTTAAATATATGAACACAATAAATAACCTAGTATCAAACAGATGACAGTATATAGCATGTCTCTATGTGAAAAACACTAAGAGATCAACCAGAATTTATCCGTACAGCAAATATATTATATGATATGAGAAAAAACATCAGAAATACCCAGAATTCTGTGGTCAGATATCTCAGCTGGATGTCAGGGGTATAAATAATCACTTAGTTTGCACGATTCCGGCTGATAAAGTTGAACTTGGAACTTGGACAAGACAGATGTGTAATCACAGCATATACCTCTGATTCTTTAAATCAGAGCAAATTTACTCCTGAGTCTCTGCAGCTGCTTCCTGAGCCTGCTTCTGGTTCTTCATCTTTTCCAGCTCCTCATCGAGGTTGTGCAGCTGAGTGAGCTTTAGCTTTTCTGTCAAAACACAGAAGAAATTCAGTGACAGTGCTGGAAAGTGAAAACAAACGCTGTATTCACACACATACAACATTTGTGCTGAGAGAAGAGTGTGCGGAGATGCTTACCAGCTGCCAACAGCTGGCTCTTTGTATTCTCAACACTCTTTAATTCATCTGGGAGTCTCTCTGGAGTCTGAGTAAAGTCATAATAATAATATAATAATAAAGTCACATTTGAATCTTCTCACAAGAGTTGTGGAGAGAATTTAGCACAAACACTTACAAAGACATAGTGCAGATTCTTGTGCTGGTCTATCAGTTGATGAAGCTGGTTTTCAAATCTCATCCTGCAGAAACATGAGTTTCTAAATGTGTAACAACAGCCAGAGGTTTTTCACAGAAAACGAGTCTTTGCACTATTAAACAGTACCGCAGTTTTCGGTGTTTAAGCTTGACATCCTGGATTTCATATCTATACTGCTCCAGCAGCTCCTCACTTTTCTTATTCAGTTGTAAATGTCTGAAACACACACACAGATATAAACACAAAATACAATAAAACTTAAAAAGATTAAAACTAATAAAAGATTTTCAAACAATAAATGTAATAAAAAGCAGATTCTAATCTTAAATAAAAAACCATTATATCTCTGACTACCTGTTTACACTGACTGAATGTGGGAAGGTGCATCCTTTTCAGGTATTTAATTGAATAAATGGGCAGATTGTGGGCAATTAAACACAATTGAAAGAAGAAGCAAAAGCTAAGACAGCAGTATCGGGCTGTACAACATTATCTAACTATATAAAGATTCAACCCCAAATAAAATAAAAATAAAATAAAAAAAGTATCCAGGATGCTAAAAAAGACAGATTACTGCCATCTAGTGTTCAACATCAAAAAACACAAATGAAGCCCATTGATGGTTCAGCAAAGAATGCTCCTTATGACTGAGCAGATCCAGTAAATCTCTTCAAACTTTCAGCACGGAGCTCACCTGGCAGCGTCCTGCTCAGACTCTTCACACTGAAACTGCAGCTTATTGCACACCTCTGAAGAAACAGACGAGCAACTATGTTCATCAGTGGGCTCACATTTAATGCCTGTACACTTATAAATGATGAACTATACGTGTACAACTGTTTGCCACTAGCACTTGCATACCTTCCTTTTCTTTGTGGATTGCCTCCAGTTGGAAGACTTTAGTTTGTACTGTGAATCAAGGACAGTATCTCAGTTGCTGGTTTAGTAAAGACTGTGTGAAGATCATTAACTTCGTGTCTTACAGTTTTCCAGCTCCTTCTCCAGTGAGTCACTGACTGACTTTGTCTTCTCAATTTCTTCTTCCAGGGCTCTTTTACCTTAAATTGAGAACAATGCCTTAGACACAGCACAACAACATTACATAACATAGGTTTCCAACAAATAATACAAAGACAGAATAAACTTTGCAAAATATTACAATTACATTTCACAAGTTAATCAGAATGGCTCTTAAGGGGTGTTGCTGTTCCCCAAAAGAGGGAGATACTAATCATATCTCATAGCTCTCCATTCATCATTTTCTGCAACTCCATAAATGGAGTAACAGGTAAGGATATACCTCACTGACGATACCCAACCATAGTTCACAGAGACATTATCAACAACGCATATGCATGTTTTACTCACGGTTTTAAATTTCTGTGTAAATATTTAGCACTTACATTCTGCCTATAGTGCTATAAACAGCACGGATGTTATGTAAATTTGTAAAGAAATTGAGCTATATTCTATAATATTTCTGTTAAAGTAAACAGGGAGCGCGTGTTTATTAGCATATCGCTATATACTGCGCTCTCATTGGTGCGCATAAATAACGTTTCTATCCCTCCGTAAAAAAGTTGTTAACGTGTTTTTCACGTTGTACGCGTGTCTCATCACTTGAGAAAACATGAAAATGTCACAAATTCGCATGCTATCGCGATTTTTGTCTAATATAAGGAAAATTATACGGGGCTTGCTACCGGAAGCGGAACTTGTGACTACCTCCCATTTGGATAGAGACACATTATGAGCTGACAGACGGACTGGTTTGTACTAAACACATGTACTTAGTTACATGCTTAGTGCTCCTACAGATCAAGTGAATAAGCTCATTATTCGACAGATAAAAATGACGCCAACGGCGGATTTATTAGTTATCTACAGGCCTTTGTATAACGACACGCATGCGCGTCGCTATCGCAGGTCAACACGAGACGGAAAGACACGACAACGAGTTCGTTTGCTTTACACGAATCCTTCGATTAAGCCAAATTTACTGCAAACACAGCAAAACCAGGCCCACAAGGCTTCCGATAAAACCCAGAGTCGTTTATCATTTTTATTATTATTATTATTATTATTAGTAGTAGTAGTAGTAGTAGTAGTAGTAGTATCATCATTATTATTATAGGCGAAACATTGTTCGTCTCCCCAAAACTCGTCTGAAAAAACCGGGGAGAAAAGGATCACCGGCAGATGTCGCTATTGAGTCTGAACAGTCTTACCGTAAACGTTATATATCTGCCGTCCTGTTACAGTTTTTGCCCACTGCTTGAACACATTTTGCAAAACTCCGCTCTCTGTGCCAAAACTGTACACACAAGTACACATGACACAACACTGGGAAATATACCATTCACATCTGTGCCAAATTGAAACTCTACTCCCAAAACCTAAACTCTGCTGTCAAAACCTGACATTCCTTTGTCAAAATGTAACTCTGTTGACAAAATGACACATACTTGCATCATATGCAAACACTGACAGATCAGGGGGAACACACTAGTCTTCTTTATATAAAACACTGCAGTCCTTGATTTCCATTGTTTATTCAGAAGGCACATTTACAGGAGACACATTTTCAAACAACCAAAAACGCAAATAGACCTACTCAATATTGTACATTGCAGTACCATGAATTCAGATAAAGCAAAAAACAACAACAACAACACAATAATACTGCAATAGAAAAAACACTATACTGTAAACACAAAAAACCATGACAATTGTGCATAAGTGGGCTCATGGATCCCGCCGTCTGTTGGGGTCTGGCCACAGGACCTCATCAACATCGCAAGCAATGTCCTCTCCCGCTAGGCACCGGGGAAAATATCCTCTTGCATGTCGAAACCATCCATGGATTGCTGTCACCTGAATGTCGCCGCAGGCCTGTTCCATTGCCTGCAGAAGAGGCATGCGGGCATGTGGTTGGCGGTCATATACTCGCCATCTCCAAGCCGAAAAAAATTCCTCTATAGGGTTCAAAAATGGTGAGTAAGGGGGCAAGTATACCACTTCAAATTGATTGTGGTTGGAGAACCAGGCCTGGACCAGAGCAGCCCGATGGAAACTGACATTATCCCATATCACCACAAACCTGGGCTGATCTGGTCTGTTCTGTACAACTATATCATGGAGAGCATCTAGAAATGTGAGTATGTGTTGGCTATTGTATGGACCTAGTATTGCATGATGGTGCAGAAGCCCTCGAAGGCATATGGCGGCACATAATGTGATGTTTCCCCCGCGCTGCCCTGGGACGTGCACAATTGCCCTTTGGCCAATTACATTACGACCCCGTCGTCTTGTTTTGCTCAGGTCGAATCCAGCTTCATCAATGAAAATGTATTCATGAGGCTGTGCAGCTCCATCCATGGCCAAGATTCTCTGAAAAAAAGGGGAACATATCACTGTACTACAGTGCTACACATTCAGCACCCTCACCCCATCACACAGGTACCTGTGTAGCTCTCAGAATAGATCCATGTGGTACTGATATGGTACATATTCAGCTGCTACTGGACTTCACCAATACTCTATTGTAAATGTAAGGGACAGTTACACGTACCCGTACATATTCAGCTCGAAGTCCTTTGACCCTGTCACTGTTCCTCTCGAATGGGACTCTGTAGAGCTGCTTCATGGTGATGCTGTGTTTACCCAAGATGCGTCTGATGGTGGTGATGCTCACATGGTCTATGTTGCTGAACACTCGCCTGTCTGCAAGTATTTTCCGTCGTAGCTGGTGGAGACGGATGGCATTGTCTGCCCTCACTAGGTCCACAACGGCAAGTTCCTGCTGTTGTGTGAACAGGCGTTGCCGTCCTCCCCAGAAGGTCTTCGAGTCATTCTGGAGAAATATGCTAATTTGTTGAGAAACCATCCCAACAACAGACTGTTCTCTCTGTTGAGGTCAGGAAAGCGATTCCGCTCCCTGAAGACCAACACAGAGAGACTGAGGAGGAGCTTCTTCCCGCAGGCGATACGGTCTCTCAATCACACCACCACACAGTACTGACCCACACATATGGTTCTTACACACACACTGGACTTTCTGGACATTGTTTTTGCACAACACTGGTCACTATATTCTTCATTTCCAGTTAATACTTGTACAGCTGCTGTTATTGTGTATATATTTATTTATATTTAGATTTCTTCATACATTCTTATATAGTTCTATATTGTGTATTGTGTATTTTGTTGTACAGTTATTTTATTTTCAACTTTAATTTATATATTTTATCTTATTCTTCCCAGTTAAATTTACCCTTCATTCTAATTTGTGTTGTACAGTTATTTCATTTTTAACCTTAATTTATATTTTATTCCTTCCTAGTTAAATTTACCCTTTTTAATTTTTCATATTTATTTCCTATCTTATTCATAGCCTTTCCTTTTTTGTTTTCTTTAGGTCACGAGCAGTTGTCCAAGCATTTCACTACATATCGTACTGTGTATGACTGTGTACGTGACAAATAAAATTTGAATTTGAAATTTGAATTTGATATTGTCATCGGTTTGCTTATTTTTCTTACAGTACTTTACTGTATGTACTGTGTCATCCACTGTACAACACTGTACTTCAATATAAGGAATCAGCCACTTTGGCTGCAAAAGGAGCATTAGCACCCCGTACACTTGATATGGTAATGTGATATACTGTAGAACAGTGTTATAAAACCATCTGAGTAGAGCAGAAGGTATGGAGGTGAAGACATACCTGTTTTCTAGTCGGAATGTTCGTATTACAGATGCCACTGTGAAGCGGCTTAGATGTGGGTGGACTCTCTGCCCAGCTTCCCTCATAGTCAGGCCATGGTTGATGACATGGTCCACCAAAGTTGCTCTTATTTCATCAGAAATATGGGTCCGTGCATGGCCTCTTCGGCCTCCTCCTCCTCTTCCTCCTCTTCCTCTTCCTCTTGCTCTCCCTCCATCCATGCTTGCAAAGTTCTTGAAATGGCTACGCTGAGGGCTTTTTGTAGTTGGCTAATTGGTGTTCGGTTTTGCAAGTAAGTGCCTTCAGGTGTGTATTTGAGTGGTTGCAATTACCCGATGTGTTTTGTATTTTGGATACATGTGTTTTCCGAATGGCACCCTGAAATTTCATTTTGTGAGCGAAGTGTCTTATGTATGAAATGGAGTGTAGCATGCAGGACCATGTGTGTTGCATAAAGGAGTAGGTGTGTTGCATAATTGGAACTGGGGTGCAAAGCAGCGCTTTTGTTTAAGGTAGGGGTACATGTGTTTGAGGTATGGTAACAAAAGCTTCAACTTGTGTTACTTTAGTCTAGGCATGGGTTCATGGTGTTCATGCAACGGGCAAAAACTGTAAGTAATACATTTAGCAGCTATTCAAAAAACATCTGATAGAACAGATCAATCATACATTACCCTGTTTAAGCCTCCCGAGTTTTCCGATCAGCTGTTCAACCTTTGGCTCGTGCATTTGTCCACCTGAAGCGCACGGAACCGTATCAGGCTCGAGGTTTTGAAGTTTATCAGTGTGCAGTGAAACGTCAGCTGGTTTACCTCCTCTCAGCGGTTTCACATTAATCATGTTCTCGATGCTGAACCCTGTCACGTAATAAAGTGAAACGTTAGAGTCATGTAAACTTGTAATAACTTTACCTTTCTATAATATTCTTACTTACTCTGGTTATAATCTGGTAATAAGTACAAAATAAATAAATAGTTACTTTTATAAATCATCTTTAACCTGAGGTTAAATTTAAGCAGGTAAGGTTTTCTGGCTAGCTTGAACACCTGCCCGATAGGTAGCCAAGTGGAAACGCTAGCTTAGTTTTTTTGCTAACCTAAATAAAGACTTATTTAGGCTAATATGAGAGGCTTTAATGTTTAAATTAAGATGATGGTAGAATATTTCACAAAGAGGTTATACTTAAGGGGTAAAATACTGAACATTTACTTTAAAACCTTTGGCAAATATGAAACCAACGGTTGTTTAGCTTTTTTTTTCCAGGTTATTTTTTAGATTAGTGTAAATTTCTCTCTCCAGCTTAATGTACATCGCTTTACCTTCGAAATCACTCATCTCTATCCTGACACCACCTTGTTTTCTTTAACTGACCACAAGAGCAACTGACAGCTTAACTGACGCGCGAAGTTTCTCCTCCTTGCTCCGCTCTCATAGGTGGGGCGGCAGCACGAGCCGCAGTACTGACGGGCGCGTGCACAGCACTGCATGATATTTAGCCCTTTTGCTTATTTATAGCGTAAAACAACTTAATATTACAATAAATAAATCATAGCTGAAAAACAGGGTGGTATGTGCTTTACCTGGTAATTACAGTTTCACTATAAATGTTTTTAATTAGCATAAAGCAGGAGCAAGACATGTTCGTGTCCGAGTGCATAATTCATGTTTAAAATAATGTATTCAATTATGACTGTTGGAATTTTTTCAATACCCCCCCAATGCAACTGTGTAAATAAACTGACCAAGAAGACCATTAAAAGGGTGATTATAATATGTTATCATTATTATGTACATAATACACTTATTTTTTAAAAAAAATTTTATTTTAATTTTTGCTGAAATACTAAAAAAATGTCCTGAAATGTGATGTTTCTAGGATGTCAGGGTAGCACAAAGGTTTTTATTCATCAATTTTTTGAGTGAAGTTAACCAGAGCAATATGGAAGCTCCTTTCCACCACTGAAAAATGGATTTAATAAATTCACTGACTAAACGAAAGGGTAAAAAAAAAAGAAAAAACAGAAAGAAAAAAAAGACCATTTCAGTAAAATTTGATTACTCAAAAATGTTTTCATTTTCTCACCATTTCCAGTACTAAGGCTCAGCTCTAATTTGTAAAGACTTTGTGATACCAACACTGAAATTTTAATATAACAAAATGTTTTTACTTCCAAAAGGCAAATCAAATTTGGTGTTTATATTTTCCTCCCTTTAGTGGCAGAACCAGTCTTCCACAGAGCCAACCTACTGCACTGGCTGTGCTTTGTTTTTTTATTTAAAACAGAAGTGTTATTAATAAGGCCCAGAATTTTGTATTTCCTTTACGTGATCATTTTATCACAACTGAAACACAAAAATCAACACACAGAGCTCAAACTTGTTAATCACTGTATCCATTTTAATGAAAAGCCAAACAGCTGTGTAGGGGGGTTTAGTTCAAGTTTGATTTGATGCAAATATACAATGCGAACAGACCTACAAAGCCCAAAACTTACTTTACCTATACACACCACTAAGGAGCTCTATATACAGACATGTTAGTTGAATACAAACACAGGAATTTTAAAAATAGTCTAATTGGGGTTCAATACACCAATGTGTCCCCAAAACAAGAACAGCTGTACTGTGTACATTTTTCACACATGCAGACGAGGAAAGGGTCATGCAAGGGGTGAAAAAAATCAAAACAAGTTAGAGAATAAAAATATTGTTTCATTCAACTTCAATGTCATTGCATGTATTTTGGCTTCCAGTGCGTTAAGATTTATTCTGTGAGTTTCACTTTAAAAAAAACAAAAACAAAAAAACCTGCAGTCAGTAAGTAATGGTTTCAAAATGCTATTGTGTGATGACGTTACAGTCTCCAAGTTTCCTCTAAACCTTGCACCAAATTCAAAGAAACCCCAGTATCTACCACAAGTTCAAAGTTTCATGTCTTTAAAGCCCAGTACCTGTCTACATTAGTTTTTAAACATGGACAAAAACTGCAAAACCAAAAATAATATTAGTTATGACAAAGAAACCCATACAAAGAGTAATTTTTAATTCACATTAATGACCCCCCCCCAAAAAAGGAGTAAATTAAAGAAACGGGAAAATTAAGAGAACATTTCAGGTTTTAGAACAACAAAAAAGAAAAATCCTCATTTTGAAAAGATATTCTGTAATAATACAATAATTTATGTTCATTTATGTTACACATCCAACAACAAGCTTCATTCTTATGCCATTCAAAACATTTACCATTTTCAAAACAGCTTTTACTCGTTGCTGGACACATCCATATAAATTACTCCAGCACATCTTTCAGAGGTAGGGGGGATACTGGCATCATATACAGTAAAACACATCAACTATTTACAGCTGTGACAAGCAAGCTAGAGGCATTCCTCTTATAGCTGTAGATAACCATACCACGTCTTTAGTTGTGTTTCCAGTTTGCCATGCAGAGTTACTTTACACCAGCAGGCTGAAAGGGAGAGACAAAGTTTGTGAAAACAGACAGTCGAAGGAAGATGGCATTCCTAACACTAACTTCTCTTTAGGCAAAGCTGGTTTCATCTGTGTGTCGGCATAATCATTCCTGCTCTTTTTCTATTCAACTTCTGCAGCAGAGCCTGCATGTTTAATTCTGCCATACGAGAAGTCGAGGTGTAGGTATAGACATAGCCTTCTGTGTTAATAGAAGCAGAGGACAGTTAGAGCAAGCACAATGGTCAAAGGTGAGGACAGATGATTATGCTCTGTCATTAATTGCAATATTTTTATTCCACTAAATAAATAGTGCCCCTCTCAGCTGACTGTCAAGACCAGCTGCATCATCTCCTCAGCACCTACTACCTCTTAAAAATAGAACTCTGTGTGATGGGAGAGGAAACAAAAGGGGATCAAATAAAGTAATGAAGTCAACGAGAAGGGGCATTTTAGCAACATTTCAAAATAAAGGGAGGCGTTCCCCATCTCCCAGCTGTTCTCCTCTAGGTGCTGCCTCACTCGCGGGAGCGTCCCACGATTGCCAGGATGTAGAGGAAAATGTTGATGATGTCAGTGTAGAGGTTAAGTGCGGCAAAAATGTATTCCTCTGGACTCAGGGCCAGCTTCTTGTTTCCCAGGAGAAGCTGAGTATCAACAGCCAAAAACTGCACAGACAAAAGATGGAATTAGTACACTTTGTATACCATACACTGATAAGGCATTGCATTGTGACCATCTGCCTAATATTATATTGAACCCCTTTGTGTGGTGATATCTGGCACCAAGATGTTAGCAACAGATCCTGTGAGGTGGGGCCTCACATCCCACACATGCTTGATTGGATTGAGATCTGGGCAATTTGGAAGTCAAGTCAAACTCGTTGTTGTTCTCCTCAAACTTTTGCTAAACCATTTTTGTTTTGTGGCAGGGTACATTATTGTGCCAAAAGAGGCCCCCACCATCAGGGAATACCGTTTCCATGAAAGGGTGTCAATGGTCTGCAACATTGCAGAGGAAGGTGTTATGTATCAAAGTAACATCCACACCCAAGGGTTCTCAGCAGAACATTGCCCAAGGCATCACATCGCCTCCACCTGCCAGGTAAGTAGCGCACATGCACCCGGCCATCCACACGAGGTCAAAGAAAACACGATTCATCAGACCAGGGCCGTTCTGATGCATGTGCGCCCTGACTGATCAGTGGCTATGCAGCCCTATATGCAACAAACTGCGATGCTCTGTGTATTCTGACACCTTTCTGTCAGAACCAGCATCAACTTTTTCAGCTGTTTGAGTTACAGTAGCTCGTCTGTGGGATCGAACCACACGAGCCAAGCTTTGTTCCACGTGTACAACAATGACCCTGTCACTGGATCAACACAGTTTCTTCATTGGACTGTTTTTAATACAGTGACCACTGTGGACCGGGAACACGTCACAAGAGCTGCAGCTTTGGAGATGCTGTGAAACAGCCGTCTAGCCATCACAATTTGTTCCTTGTCAAACTTGTTCAGATCCTTACAATTGCTGATTTTTCCTGCTTTTAATGCATCAACTTTGAAGAGATTAACATTCCCTTGTTCCCTAATATATCCCACCCAATAACAGGTGCCATGATGAAGAGTTAGTTGGTGTTACTCATTTCGCCTGTCTATGGTCATTATGTTATGCCTCAGTGTATGCTGCCTTAAACTGCCATTTGCACACTGAACATGATAATGTAAGGTATATCGTTTTGCTTTAGTTAATACTGTCATGTATATTTAAAAGTGACCTCAGTTTTGTAAAAGTTTACTTTGTAACCCTTGCAAGCCAAATATTTCTCACCATTTAGCAGGGCACTGTCAAGAAATGCAAAAAGCTGACAGATAAACCACTTGGATGCGTAACAATCCTTCAAACTCATAAGTATTTGTTTTTCTTTTTTTTTTGTACATAGAAGGCGAGATATATGTGCGGCACTTACGCAAGTAAAGAGTAGCGCTCCCAGTGAGGCATAGACGATGTGCAGGATCTTGTGGCGGATGAAGATGCACAGGATGGAGAAGAGCAACAGCACGATCAGACACACGAACAGCACGCCCCGACAGGAAGTAAAGTCATACTTGCTCTGTGAAAGAAAAAGAAAATAGAACAGAAGAAAATTAAAAGCAAGACGTTTAAAAATGGGAGACACGGCACTCTACGGTTAAAGAAATGTAATTCTGAAGGAGCTTTTATACACAGTCTGAGTATTTGCTTGTTATTGACTGGGTAAAACACCACAGTGCGAACAAAAACAAACAAATGATCTCTTAAGAGAATGATGTTTGGATGCTTTTATGGACACTCAAACGCATTTACAGAAGCAGCTGTCTGCGCGTGCTGACCTGTAGCGAGAAGAGGACGACGGTGAAACAGACCACCGCGGTGATGCCCACAGCCATGATGACGCTGTCTGTGTCATAGAAGCTAGCGATCATACCCACCATGTAGGAGAGACTCAACGTCAGGATGGACTGTACGAAAGAAAACAGACAAATTACTTATAAAACTGTTTACAAAGAAACATTCAGCTTTGTGTGTGAGATAGGTCACCTCTTATTATTACTATAAAATCAATCTTAACAGGACAACCTTGTGTGATTTCCATCTGGCCTGTTTTGATGTTTAATTCATCTAGATTAATTTGATGTGAGATGTCCAGTTTTGGCAGTATCAGCTATATGATGGCACTTACTTAATGGGTCTTAAAAATACATTTGAAAAGCTCAGCAGCAAGCAGTCCATTTCCAGAAATCAAGGCCTGCAGCTAGCCAAAAATACAGCTGCAGAATGGAATGTATACATAGCATTCCTTTCACAACTGTCTAAGCTGTTAAAGGAGTGGAAGGAGTTTGGAAAAGTTCTCACCAGAGCAACCAAATTCCAGGGGTGCTTGCGGCGGAAGTCACCACAGCAGCTGAGGACAATCAAAGACACGAAGAAGACTGCGTAGGACACGTAGTACG